TTCAGTTGCATATGGTTTTCTTTATTCTCAGTTTAGGCTTTTAGATTACTCTTCAATATTCGTAGTGTTTGTTTAATGCATCACATCCAAAGTCATCTGAGAAAAGATCATGTAGTAGGATGATGTCCTGACACAAAAAGTGTTCTTTGGTGTTCTGTCTCATGCCTAATACTGACAAAATGATTGCAAAAAAATAGTTTTGAGTCACACAACATGTGAGATGAAGAATATGTTAATCAGGTTCAAAGACTGGTTGCATTGTTGTGATATATGAAGAGTGAATATACTAGCTCAGAAATTGTGTGACTGAATGACTGACTGAGTGCACATCAAGGACAGAGGAGGGAAAGAAAGTATACAAAATTACTAGGAGATGTGAAAACAGGAAAATAAATGGTGGAACTGAAGGACTGAATTTTGAGGTATGTCAGTATGTCAGTAGTAAATACATGTAGAAACATAAAGGAAGAGAATTTGGAATAACAGATAGAAACTTGAAAAAGAAAGAACCAAAGTGAGCACAGAGGTTTGTATATTGTTCACCTATGTCATTTACTGAATGATTTTGTGTGAATTCTGAAGTAGTTGCTGAGTACATGACTTAGCATGCTGGTTTTTGACTAATAAATTCAATTCACTATGGCTATTCCCAGTCAGATGGCATGGGAACTGAGGCATAACCCTCCTGTTCATACCACACAGCTCAGTCTTCTGTCAAACTGCAGTGCCTGTGGATAAAAATATTTCCAATAGTCAGAAGTCTTGGCCTGTAGATACAATGATAATACATAGTAATATTGTTGGAATTTACTTCTAAATTTTCCAGCACATCTATTAACTTAAACAGATGTAGTGAGGTATGTTCCATCTTGCTCTGCAATGTACCTATTTCTTTGTTTCATGGGATAATCTCATCTGAAGTATAAGGACATGAACTAAGTAGTCTTTCTTCCAATTGTATTCCTTCCATATCTTTTAAACTGAGAAAGAAATATGCCAGAGAGGAGGGGAAAAAAAAGCAAAAAAAAAAGCATGACATATTTCTCTGAATTTCAAGAATCGTTTTGACACAGCCAGGAGATAAGTCAATGTTGTTATGCTTTCTTTGATATTGGTGACAGTGTCACAGAAGATCAGCAAGAAAATCCCATGTGAGATTCCAAAGCTGACTAATGAAAATACTTCAAATGATATTTTAATACTGTCTTTATGTGGCAAATTGATTTCCCAGGTAAATTGGGTTTTTCCTAGTTTCTTACAAAAAAGTTTGCCTTTTGCATTACTAACAGCCAGTTCCAGGTTTATAATTGCTTTTATTTAATCTTTCATCACTTACTTCTCCTGACCATGCTGAATAAAACTTGGCTCAGTATCATACATCTGGTTCTCTCTTCATCAGCTCCAGGGTGTGAGTGTGTGGGAATATTTAAGGTTTCAGAAGTTATTCATGTTCTGCAGAAATAGAAAACAAACAAACAAGCAAAGAAAGAAGTAGCTCCCAAAATTAAGTGCTCTTTCCCCACCATACATGGCCCTTAATGAATAAACTTTTTCAGTATTCATTTCTCTGGGGAAATGTGGGCCAGATTTGGGTTAGAGTCTGACTTTCTAAAACTCTGGATGGTTGGCCTGTTTTAGACAGACTTAAATACTGAAACACTCTCTCACATATATTGTGCTTTTATATTTTTTGTATTATCATTATTATTCTTTAGACATGACTGTTAAATTGCTATAAATCATACCTAATGATTTGGTAAGTAAATAATTTTTGTAGACTCTTAAAATGAGCAGAGCACATTTCTCAGCTGAAATCCTGACGTTTCCTCCATGTGGATTTGATTTCAGATCAGAGCCACATAATTCAAGGAAAATAAATTCATTTGGGAAATGGTCAGGGAGTTTTATATCTTGGGAAGTTACAATCCTGTAAAAATAAAATCAGTAGAACCAGTCCTTAGATGAGGTCTCTCATAATGGTTTCCTGACAGAATCTCTCAGTTAATGAAATTCTATTAAATTACTAAATACAAAGTCTGGATGTGTTGCAAAGCAACCCAAGGAAGCCACTGTATCATTTAAAAAATAGGTGCTGAAAAAAAAAATCCCTCTAAATTTACTTAGTAAAAGTGAAGGTAACTAAGAATATTAATAAACACTATGCTAACTCTAATTTCATAAAAGCAGATCTCTCTCATTTTTCTTTTCTCTATTTACTTGTTTTTCTTGGTGTAGAACTGAGTTCAGTTAAATTAGTCATAGAGAAAGACTATTTCCATGCTTGGGTAGCTGCATATGGGTATTCACGTTTGGGATATGGCTGGATGATATTTTTCAGTACCACATGTAATTCATCCAAATAAAACTATTTCTGGTATTCCCCAGTAAACTATCCTGTAATCCTATGGACAAGGTCCCAGGTTATGCTGAGATGATGCAACATAAAATATTGCATGATTTGCTCTTACTGTCGATTTTTAGAAACAGGTAGCAGAAAAATGTAAGATATTTATCTTTATTAGAGAAGTAACACATTCTCTGTAAAAACAAAACATCAGATAGGGAAGAATAGAGGAGGAAAAATGACTGAAAATTACTACAGAAATGAACAATTGTTTAGGACTTTATGAGTTTCTCTGAATGTGCTTGAATACTTATTTGAGACATGTTGACTCAGAAAATGGTGATGCATGCATGTCCTGACTTGTAAACTCTATTCTGTAGACTAAAAGGCTTAATCATTAACCAGATAGAGTTATCTTGAAGTTACTATTCTCACTTGGCCACACTTAAGGAGCAGTCTATGCTGTCCATTGAATTTACAAAAGGTTAGCTCAATGCCTTCAGATGTTCTTAGGGTACTAATTATACTAAAAAAGCTCATGAATCTCTGAAATCTGAAAACTCTATGGGGTTTTTGGGGGGTTGCAGGGTTTGGTTTTGTTTTGTTCTTAAGTGGGAAGTGGAGTTTAGGGATACAGTATTTCAATCTGCAAAGATTTGCTACTACAGGAGAAAAAAGTCATTTTACTAACCAGCTGAATTGAAACACATGGATTTCTAGAAGGTTATTTTATCTTGCTCATTAACCGTGAACTTTTATTGTCTGTTTAAAAATCTATGGAAGGATTTTATTGTGAATGCCTTGGGTTTCTTAAAAAGCTGAGCATATGAAACAGATATAGCTGGGGCTACTCTTGCTTTTTCAGTTCCATTGAAGAAAGTATGCAAGTTCTTATGAATTAACCCTTGATTCCATGCAGTGGAAGAGTTTTTCATGAGTTCTGCTTAGTCAAAGGATGCTGTTAAGAAAGACAGTCTTGTATCAAACATTCTGTTGAAGAATTTTGAGTGCCCAAATACCATAAACTTCACCTTTTACAGCTCCCAACAGCTATAGCTATGTTGAAGATATACATTCTCCTGTAACTAGGCACTAATTATTCACAGAAAAACTCAAATTAGGAAAGTCATAGAATTTCTCATTAAATCCTGACCTATGAAAACAAAAAAGAATGCTGTGTGAAGTGAGAAGCTCACACCAGTCAATGTAATGGTCTCAAATCTATGGACCAAGAAAGCAAGATTAAAACCAACTGCAGAGCCATGGTTCCTCCCTGAAGAGGCATCTACCTGGCTTGCTCTCTGGGGATATTGTACCACATATAGATAGTGTTGTGGTCTGCAGCTGGCTCACGGGACCCTTCAGTCTGAACCCTCTGATGCATGGCTCTCACCTCTGCAGTGCCCTTGAGGGCCATTGAAGCATGCGGAGTTTTAAAAAATGTTTTAAACTAAGTTTTCTTAACATTCTAAACAACCTAATATTGGTATTAAACACCTTTTATTTAGTCAATTTTCTAGCTCTGTGAAACATTTCAAGATCTTAAACTCTGCTTCAAAAGACTGTCTTTCACAGGGGTTTATATCCCAGTTCCTCCTATACTGACACTAATGGAAGCTGCAGGAAGGGACAGGTAGGTTTGAATTTTTTATTTCTCTTGAGGAGAAAGTATGCTCAGTTTTGCTAAGCTTAATAATGCCTCTACCATGGCATTACAAACCTTGCTCTGTGCACCTCTAAATCCTTCTTGGCACAGATGTCCTCTGAGAGGCATCCGATGAGAAGTGTTTGGGATTTTTTTTGGCTGCCTGCAAAGCAATAAAAGTACCATTTCAGTGTAGGATATATTTTGGGCTCATATATTTCACAGAATGAGGTACTTAGTTGCCATTAAATTTAAATGGAGTGGCATCAGTCCTTACTGGTGTCAAGTTCTGATGCTTAAAAACAGCAAAAAATAGAGCAAATGTTGATTTTGAGTATGCTTTATCTAATAGACCTACATTTCAGTATTCAGCTATAAAAACAAAAAAAAAGCAGCAGAAGACTGACCACCTATTGCTACACAATGCAACCTCATGTCCCTATGACTAAGTAACCTGCCCACCTGTGATGTACTCACTGTTCTGTCTTGTATCTACTCCAAGACTTAGACTGATGCCCAGCACAGTGGGGTGGGCATGTGATGGTGTGGCTGATGTTTCAGGTTAACTGTATGGTGTTGGGAACTTCATGCACAGGAGGTACAGGCTTTAATGATGGCAGAAGAATACACAGAGGTCAGACCTGTGGGAGTTAACTTGTTCTGATAATGATGATGTTGGCATTACAAATACCCTGGTCAAGCACATTTTATCTGGAGAGAAACCATGTGGCTGGAATGTATTGAAAGCCCTTTTGAGTAAGCACTGTTTATTTTGAACTTGGCTAGTGAAAGGGTAGTAAGCTTAGGACTTAAAAGTGTTACAAACTGTGATGAAGAATGAGAAACTGAAATCAGTGGTGGAGAATGACTGTTAACTTGGATATAAAAAACTTTGTGACAACATGTGACACCATTGCTTTATGGCATTTTTAGCACACAGTAGAAGAGAGAACTCTCTAAGAGTTTACCTAATAAAAATGATATGAAGGTATTCCACCATTCTTCTTATTATTTATTTCTTTTTATACTTGTAATATTTCAGGTGCTTTCCAAACAGAAAAGCTGCAGGCCCTGCCCCGAGGAGCTTACAATCTAAAGGTGGACAAGGAGAGAGACGTGGAGGGGGTCTACAGAGCAGTCAAGAGGCCAAGATGGAAATTAATGAATCAAATATGGTTTGAATGCATTACTGCAAAGCTATACAAACTATTTTCCAATTACAGCTCATATTTTCCACTGTGGTTCAACTATATCTGCCATGACACAAACAGATATGCAGGAAGAAAGCTTTCAATATGTGAGCTCAGAGAGAGTAGCACAAGTGTAAAGTAGAGCTGGAAAACTCACCTAAAAGTATTGAGATGAGAGGGATTTGCCTGGATTTTCAAAATTCAGTTCAGCATCAGGACAGTTTAGATCCAGAACGATATGGCTTTGGATCAGTTCCTACGAGGTGGAAGTAACATGTGATAGATTTAATCTGAAATGTAAATGTACACTATGGATCCGGAGTTTTCTTAATACAGGCTAATATGAACTACAAAATCTATCATGGCAGGGCTAGGGAAGTTAAGTTATTTGGTATATTCAGGGAGGAAAAGAATGAGAGTTCGAGGGTGGTCATTCTCAGGCCAGTTGAAAAATTACATTTTTAATAATGTAGGACACCAGTCAACAATTAAAAAGAAGCAGACTGTTTAATTTAAAAAATACTGGTTTTGACTAAGACAATAACTCACTCATCAGTTGTTAAAAATACTATCAGGTTTTCTTTATACATTTAGGTATTTTTTATAAAACATCCAATCAGGTTGCCCTAAATTCTGAAATTGTCAAAGAAACTCTCTTAAGGCTTGCCTTTTAAAACTTCTCAAAAAATTGCCATATTTTCCAGGTACTCAGGGGATCACTGTATGCTTGCTTAGTCCTGAAGTATCTTTCTCTTAGCAAATGCAAGTGTATTGTAAAGGCAAAAGCTAATAAGCAGCTGAATATTAAAGTGCATAGGTTGTTCATGTTAGGAAAAATTAATCATTGAAGAAGCAATAACTGTGGTGATTATGGATTCCTGGGGAGTAATCCATCATCAGTTTTTAGCAAACCACAGATATTTTTTTCCTACAAGAAACACTTTTCACAGTCTTCAAACCCTGCAAATGCATTTCTAGCAATGGTATCAGGACAGTGATACTCCTGTTGCTGTGAGGGAGAAGCTGTAATTAAATAATCAAATAGACCAATCTTTCATAATTTACAGGTATTCATGTTCCTTCAATAAATAAAAGAATATAATTTATCTTTTGATTCTGTATAGCTTTTGAAACAAATTAAATTTCTAGCAATTTAAATAAATGATTCTAATAGCTTGACATGAATTATGCTGACAGGAGCCACGTATGATTGTTATGATGCCCAGAATATTTTAAGAACCTACAAAGTTAAATAAAGGCTTACAAGTCTCTTAAGCTACTTTTTATTTGCATAGAAAAATATTTATCATAGGAGTCAACTATCATATGACAGAAATTGCATTTGTTGTAATTGAAAAAGATAGCTAAAAAGTTTCTGTGGGTTATTGCAACAGTACAAGAATACAAGATGCTTCCATTTATTAAAAAATGTAAAACAAATCGTGAAAGCTAAAGCAGGCTACAAAACAGAAGGTCCTCATATTATCTTTCTTTTGACTATTATGTTACAAGATCAAGTGCCACAGTTGAGTACTATAAAGTGTAATTCTGCATTTGCTAATATAATTCTTAAAACATTCCCCCCTCCCCAAAAGCACTATGCAAAATATATATATTTGTAAATGCTTCCTCCTGTAAGCATCACAACCTTGTTATCACATAGTCACCCTGAATAATTGTTTCCTGTTTTCCAGCAGAGTCAATGCTAATATCTAATGCCTTGTCCAGCTGATCCTGCGGTGTGGCAGGTTCTGAGTTCTGTAACTCCATTTTCTCTGTTTCTAAAATACAAATACTTCCCTCTTCCTGTGAATCCAAAGAGTTGCTGTTATTTTGTGAATCAGCTAACACACATTTTTTGTCAGGATTTTGGATATTTAATTCACAGTTCATGGTCAACTCTCCCTGTTCCAGTTCATCAGTTTTCTCACATTGTTCTTCTGCCTGTTGACGGGAAACCTCTTCAGAAACAGTGTATATTTTATTTGTACTCTGCTCCACAGAGTTTGTTTTTGATCGTCTGTGAAACAACCCAAAATTTTTTATGTCTGTTACAAAATTCACACGCTTTTGTTTCTCCTGAGTGGACTCTGACACCATCATTGCTGAGCCATTGCTTACATTATGCCCTTCAGAGGCAATATTGGCTGATCGTGGGTGAATCATCGTTGTTATGTCAAAAAGGCTGAAGGGTTTTTTCTTTCCTTTCTTGTTTCCTTCACTCTCGCTATTTTCTTCATTTTCTGACAGAGAGGCAGTGTCTTTGTTCATCTTTGCAGTCTGCAAATTAGACAGCTTGCTTCCTTTCAACAAACCCAGGACTTCAAAGCGAAAGCTGGAAATATCTTGTTTTAACTCCTAAAAATTAGGAAGAAAGATGAAACATCAGAGCATGAAAGCTAATTTGACTTTTCCTTTTGTAATTAAAAAAAATAAAATAGAAAAAAAGGCTTATGGCAGGGATTAGTAATAAACTTCACCATCTGGATAACACCTGTTATTTTCAAGGTAGAAGAACTTGCTCTAGGAAGTTACTAGAGCCACCTGAACAACTGAGTATGAGAAATATGATTCACAGTCTTATAATATCTTACAAAAACACCTATAAACATAAAAATAAATGCCTACCTTAAAATTTTCTTCTGTCAATCCTTCTTCAGTTTTGGCATCTCTTATCATTGCTGCAACATACCTCTTAACTAGATTTTTCATAACTTCCTAAAAATATAAAGCATTGTGTTAGGTTTCTTGGTATTAGTTACTAAACTTACATTCATTGGCTCTGCTTGGGCTTTTTTGTGTTTTAGGAACATGACAAAAAATGTATAAGCGTTAGATCTGTTTAGAAATTGGTTCCGCTTTTTCATGGAAAGTACTAATGTTTACTAACGTGAGAAGGGCTATATTGGGTTTGACCAAGGGTATGTCTCATGCCAGTAATGTGCAGACTGACATTGAGCAGTTGCTGATGCCTCATGAGGAGATTAAGTCTAGTGTGGCTGTATAACGCTATTTCCAGATATTCTCTCTCAAGCCTCCCGAGCTGTGAGATTCAGTGACTTTCTGAATCAGAAATGACAGTTCTAGGTTTAACTGGCTGTGACAGGTTTTCCTCTGCATTTTGAACTCATGTAAACTTTCAGTATGCAGAAATCCTCTGCCAATTAATTCTACAGTATAGCTGGACTAAGATTCCATTTGGGTTTTATTTATTTTTAACCTGAACTCTGATAGTTACCACTGTTGCCTTCTACTTCTAAGAATCCTAGAAATTACTTAGGTTGGAAAAGATGCCTGGAGGCTGCCTGATGCAGCTCAGGGCCATGTCCAGTCAAATGCTGAATATCTCCAGGAGTGAAGAAGCTGCAGCCTCCCTGAACAATTTTTTCCAATTCTTTACTCCCCTCACTGTGAGGATGTTTCTCCTTACCTTACAGAATTTCCCTTCCTGCAATTTGTGCCCACTGACTCCTGTTCTTTTGCTGTGTACTTTGAAGAAAAATCTGGCTCATTCTCTCTAACCACCCACTATGTTATTTAAGACAGCAGTTATATTCCCCTTAACCAACTCCAGGCTGAAATCCAAGATTTTTTTTTGTCAGTCCTCTAACCATCTTGGAGGCCCTTTGCTGGATTCCTTCCAGTCTGTTAGCATCTCTCTTGTAGTGCGGGGCCCAAACAGGACACATGGCTCCAGATAGAGTCCTACAAGTGTGGGCTGGAGAAGAATAATCACTTTCTTCAAAGGGCTGCCTACAGCCTTACTAATGCAGCACAGTACGTGTGTGGTATTCAGTTTGCAGATAAATGGCAAACAGCTGCTCTGTGTTCACCTTCCCCATAATTGTACAGATCCCTGTTTTACTTTCCACAGTTGTCTCTTTTTCAGGTTGGAAAAGTCCTAGTTTTTCTAGTTATTTCCCATATGAAATTAATTATTACCAAACTTACAGCCTACATGTTGTTTAACTTGCCGCCCTTTTAACACAACAAAATTCAAAATAAAGCTGAAAATTATTCATTGTGTTACAATGATCTCAAAAAAGCAGAAGCTGAAGAAGGAAGGATTAAGAAGAACTCATTACAGGGGATCCTGTAATAACCCCAGGCAGAGGGGTTACTAAGGGAAAAGAAATTGTTTATGGGGGACTGGAGAGATGAAGAGCAGGTTGGAGCACATCAGTGAGCTGCATATATGCTCCTGATGAATCCTGGCAGGGAGTTGGGCTATGTGTTTGCTTTTTTTAAAGGTACTCCATGTTACAGTGGACAAAATACTGGTTAGCACGTTATTGCTCTAGAAAATACCCTTTTGCTCCTAAAAGAAGACAACCATACTTCTCAAAAGATTTTTTTGAACACCAAAATTACTAAGCTTGTTTGCTAAGGTGAAATAAGTATGCATTTTGTGTTTCCTTTTATTTTTCTTTTCTGTTTTTCCATTAAATTCTTTCTTTATTTTTTTTTTTCCTTTTTCCCCTCATGAAAACATTCTGGAGGCATAGAAAAAAGAATTGCCCAAAAGTAAACACAGATTTGTACCTGGTATTGATGATGTCTTCTCAAATTGTCAGCTGCACGTCTCTGAAAACAGAAAAACCAAAAAGCTATTAATCCCTGTCTGGAAGCAAAATACTTAGCCACAGCAAAACAGTAGGTCTGTGCATTATAAGGTATCTACCAAGCTGTGAGAAATGGTTCAAAGTCTTGAAAAATGACAGTGTTGGAGCAAAGCCTATTATTTGCTTTACAGAAAGGAGAATGCTGCTATCAGGAAGAGGATTTTCTACATTTTCATCAAAATGCTTTTATTCCAGCATTGTCATGGATGTGGTGGGCACCCAGGTCACTGCTTGCCAGAGTCTCTGATCCCAAGGTCTCTGATCTGAGATAGAAAGGGAACAATGGAATCATGTCACTCATTTGCACAGGCTGAAGAATATTTTACTGAATTGAGAAAAGTTTGACTTGTATCAAGTTAGATTTTTCTTGGAGGTGTGCAGCAAAAGAACAGAAGTCAATAGACATGAGTTGTAGGAAGGGAAATTCTGTATGGAAAATCATCAACACAGTGGGGTTAGTAAAACCATGATGTTAGCAAGACACTTACTGTGGCTCCTAATGTCTCATTTAAGATAAAGCTAACCAAAACCTGCACTATAAACTGTATCAAAGAGAAAATTCCTGCTTAGTTCTTTGTCAAAAGCACTTAGTCACAGAGAGGTGTATGGAAGAAAGAAATTCAGCTTTCAACATAGCTAGCTGTTGATAAGGAAGAAGGGTAAATGGGACAGTAACTCTGAAGAGGAGCAGCAAAAAGGAATGTGGTCGGATGAAATAATGGCACAGATTTCAAGCAGGCGTTGAATTAGATTATACTGCCATATCTAGAGGCTGTCCAGGAGAAGACAGAGGGAGAAAAAAAGGCCTGAATTATTTTTTCCTGTAATTACTGTTGTCCTCACTTGCACACTGAGTCACATATCCCTGTCCTCTACCTTAATTATCCCTGACTGGTGAAAGAAAGATTTACAGCTTTAACTTGGGTTCTTATATCTGCTGCTGACAAGAAAAGAATGTGTCTGACCACTGACTGTATTTCTACAAAACGGAACACTTACAACAGCTTAAAACAGGGCAAAAGGACATCCAAGAGACTTGTTAAAATTGACCTCGGTTGCATAATGAGGCAGACACAGTAAGTTATTTTGTCATCTTCTTTTATTTGAAAGAAGTGATTACCAATTTCCCTGTACTTGGAGTCAGTTTACACTTCAAGGTTGATTTCTTGTTTGCAATTAATTTGAGGGATGCAGTGGCTGTGTGGTTGGGCTTGGCAAAAAATAATAGGGGGAAAATCATTATTTCCTAATCAGTCTGAACAACCGGGGGAGGGCTTTATACACAAGCATCTTGTCTTCAGTATTTTTCCAGATCACGCTTCTGTATCTATACCTCATCCAAAGAGAAGATGGAAACTCCTTGTGTTTAAAAGGGGGGAGGAATGCGTTAGTCTGCCCACCACTGGGGCCAGAGGGGGCAAGGCAGCCATGGGAAGGCTGATACCCTCCCAACACGCAGCTGTAGCCGTTTTTTAGAAAAAAAAACCCAACTCATTTTTTGCAGTTGACCACACGATGGAGATATTTCATTCCTGCTGAGAGAGCACTAAGGGAGTCGGTGGCTAAGAGAGCTCTCAACAAATCTGACTCACAGATAAAGGGAAAAACACCTCAAGGTGTAATTGAAACACACTTCAGGTAAAATTAATAACTCATAAATAAAATAAATGCTGATTCTTGTCTGGCAGAATACTTTCTGCCGCTGCTGTCTGCTCTGCTTGGATTACAGCCAAATGTGAAATAAATGTATAGGTTTAATTCTGTACCTATAACAAGAAATACCTTGCTTATCTTCTTTTTGCAACCACTTTGGAAACTCCCTGAAACAGAGGCTGTGGCTTTTGCACTCAGTGCAATGCCAACAAATGCAATTTAGGATGACTATCTAAAAAGATTTATTTTTCCATACCACTGAGAAGCTGAAAGAAAATTGATTTCATTTTATGTTTTCATATAAAGCCACATCCTGCACATGAAATTATGCATACAAGCAACTTATCAAAGTTATTACCCCATCAGTTTTCTATCTCCTGTTTAAATGTTTGGATTCAGTCTCCAGTTCATAATCATCTTTTGATTTCTTTTGAAAGCAGAATGAATCTTTGCCCAAACACATCTGAAAATCAAGCTATTCACTATAAATAAAATGTCACTAACACTCATATTGTCCTCATTCAGTTCTCAGCCTGCTTTCCTCTACCCAGTTATAGTCTAATTTGTGGTTCAAAATTCGTTTTGAGTAATCATTGTGCTATCTGCCTGAAGAAGTTGAAAACTATGGCCGACAAAGGGATGAAAGTTAAATTTGACTAAAAATAGCAACAAGGGAGAAACACTCTTCTAATGACAAATGTGGAATGAGATAATGAAATTGAAGGGGATACTGTTGTCACTTTCCAAAAGGGGGCACTAATGTCCTTTAGAAAGCTTTAACAGTAGTTCCACTAGTAGTGATACTTATTTTTGTCTTCCTATTCATGCCATTCCTAGTAATTTGCATTGTTTGGAAGAAAAATCTCTTTAGCAGTAAAAATTTGATAATGTTGAATTACTTCCTTTGAAGTGTTTCATAAAGCAGAAATTCAAATCTAATGTCTGCATTTGACCTCAAACTACTTAGTAATAAAGGTCCAGAAAATGTTTGATAATTACTGAGTACTAGTTAGTAATAAAGGTCCAAAAAACTATTGTCTGAAATCATGGGATATATTCCTCATCTTGAACAGAAGCATCACATAAAAAGGATTAGAATTTATCTCTGTTGACAAAGAGGCTTCTCCATGGGATGGTCCTTGGCTATACAACAAACACTACAGATTACCAATTTCCATGCCAGGTGGAAGGTATTTCTTTGCTCAACTTTCCATAACATACATTACAGAGAAAATAGAAAATGCTTATATTCACTTAGAAGTTGCATCATTTTCCACTGGGATAACAAAGAATGGGAGAAGGGAAAAGGAGATTTTCTCTGACAAATGATAATAAAATCATGCAGGATACTTGGAAAATGGCATAAAATCTGGACAACTAGAAAAGAGGAAACAGTTTATCTAAACACCAGATGCACAAAAAATATATTTACTGAAGATACACCTGACAATCCTTTCCATTTTCTCCTCTTAAATACTTAAAAAAAAGGTAAAACACTTTTAGGTGACTGATCAGGTATAAAGGAGAATATAATTTGAGGAAAACACTAAAATTTATTCCAGTGGGATTAGAGTTTCTTTTCCTATATATATTCTTTTTTGAAATAGCATTGGATTTCAGATGGCCAACAGGAGTAGCCTTGACAAACCCAAAGTCTTGTACAGTCAGGAAACATCAGCATAATCAATAGAGTTATATTACTAATCTGACTTTTGCAAAGGTGACCTGACAAAATTAACAGAGCTGATATTTTTATAGATATATATATATACACACATATATATATAAAGAGCAGCACACACTTTTATTTCAGAGTTTTAAGTGTAGGAGATAACTGTGATAATAGCTAAAGAGAATGCTGCATACCTGGGATATGTCAAAATGACAGAACATAAAAATATGCTGAACTCTGAATGGTAGAAGAGTTCTGTCTGATTCATAGCAGAACTGAAATCCTAGTAAATCACATGTAAGCATCCTGGCTTTCCTTCAGATATAACTGTGGCTAGAGAAGCTGCCATCAGCATGGCTGTGCACTGTGTTGCTTTGGAGAAAAAAACTCTCCCTTGAAAAACCTCCCCTTGACTTTACCACCCACTGCTTCACATGTCCTAGAGCAACAAAGGACGAAAGAATCACAGAACTGACATCCAAGGAGAAGCAAATTAATAAGCTTTCTTCAGAGGCACCTCACAAGCCTACAGACCCTGTTCTTTCCCATGATAGTTTTGTTATAAACAGCAATGTAGATGGTCCTCCCAAGCAACCACATCATACTTATTTTTACTGACATTTCTCTTCTTCCTATGAGCCAGATAAATCCTTTCACTAGCATGTGTGCTGCAAACTATTCTGATCTTGAACCCTTTCTTTACATGTTCTGTCTGCATATACTGAACTCTCAGGTTTACACATATAAAGATTTTACAGTGGATTGTTGAGACATGCAATACATCCTTGATTCAGTCCTAGCTTGTGATTCCTGGCTTTTTGGTACTAAGGTTTCTTGTGCAGAGATCATGCATGATGCTTGCCAGCTGCATTCTATTACCTGTTTTGCATCCTGTAGGACTGATTCACCCTTTGGATGCATGCTATTGCTTTTTCTACTGGAAAACACCATAGTATGTCACCATGGATTAGCGCTTCCTGATAGGAAAGTTAACATTTAGAGATTTCAGGACAAAACGTTTTGACATCTGAGTTCTTCCTTACAGACAACATGGCATCTATATATCCATACAGCTAATATAAGAAAATCAGTTTATAGTGGTTTTGTTAGGTTTTTTTCCAGTATTGGTTGTAGGGAAGGAATTGGAGTTTATAATGCAGGACTCAGTGAAAAGGAGTAGGTCCCAACAAAGCTTATCTTGTAGCTCTGAGGCCAAAGTTATTACAGAGGAGATTCCAGTGAGCCAGAGGCAGAGAGCTGTCACCTGGAATCCTTGAACAAAAGGCAAAGAAAACTCTTCATTTACTTTTGGTTCAAAGGGCATAGAGGTTCTAAATTTAATTTGTGATGTAGCTTGTTGGGACAATTGAAAAAGATCTAGGAAAACAAGGCTGAACTGTGGGTGATGGAAATAAGTTTTTCAAAATCAGAAAGCACTGCATTCCCCCAGGACAAACTGTGAGAACACCGCAGTCCGTCCATTTGTTCTCTGATGACTTCACCTCTTGGGGAACATCCAGTTAACTGCATCTGGTTTGCATCTATCTAATGTGGAAATCAGAGTGCATACCCACATCTTACTCCATTTTGGAGCTTGGGTGCACAACTGGGCCTGGAAATTGCAAAATGTTCCAAATTGAGATAGCCCTAATGGGGCTTCTGTCAAGCTCAGAAGACAGCTGAAGAACTTTGTAGTTTTATGAGATGCCCATATGGTGGACTGAATCTGCCTGGTAAGCCACAGCCACTCACTTTTTCCAGACAGCTGGAAGTCTGGTTGCCATGATGGTTCTGCTGGTGAGCTCTTTGCTTCAGAGGGGTTTCAGCTCTACTTCCAACTAAGTACCTATTCTGCAGGGGAAATTAGTGATGGATATGGCCCTACTGTTTCATATGCTTTGGGAATTCACTTTCATCAAACCATTTTTTAAAAAACTTTACAGAAATTAATTAAGAATGTCTCTCAGACAGTTTAGTAATTAGTGGTTCACATTCAAATCATAAGGAAGCCAGGTTCAGCTCCTTCTCTTGTGTTCTCTCAAGACAGCACCTTAACTCCTGCAGGCTCTTAAAGATCTCGAGATGGAAATCTCTCCTGCCAGAGCTGTTATGCTTGGGGTAGATAATTAAATATCCACTGGAGAATAGAAGTGAACCTGGGTCTCCCTTAGCCCAAGCTATTTGCTTTACATGGCACCTGCTCCTTCTTTCTTCAAACAGTAATTCCATCCTGAAGCTGAAAAGTCTTTTCCAACAAAAGCTTCTTCGAAACTGGATTTTATTAATGAAAAAGCTTGGAGGTTACAGATTTTATAATCTTTCTTCATTAAAAAACCTGAAAATTCTATTTGAAAAAATTCTCAAGCAGCTCTGTGAATAGACTGCCTGCCCTTTGACTCTTTGCTGCACCAATTTTCCCAAATCTAAGATGTGGATTTCTAGAAGGTGGTATTTATGTATTCTAGCAGGAGGTAGCTGTAGGAAGCAGGAGGTGATATTTCTGAATCCCCTTTCTCATCATGCCATTCAACATAGGGCTGAGAGCACCCTGTATTTTTCTTTATTATTTCACAGATCCAGGAATGAGTTTACCCACAGATCTGCAGTTTGAGAGAGTAAGAAAAAGGAAAAAAAAAAATCCTTATCGTGGATGGAAAGTCTGACAAAAAAATATTGTTCTGAAGGTTTAGCTGGGATGTATAAGGGTATTCTGGATGTGTCTCAGTCAAACAGGGATATTTTGTTCCAACCCTCTGCTATACACTGGCATCATGGCACTAAGTTTAATATCATTCTATCAGTTTACACTACCTAATCATCCCTGCCAAATGTTTAACAAATGCCTGGAAGCATTGCGCACTCTCCCCCACGCACAAGTACATCACTCTCTCTCTTGATTTTCTCTTTCTAACAAAATCTCATAATTTTTCTTCCTGTAAGCCTCTGCATTTACTTCTTTTACTTCCTATGTCACACAGAGATGTTTATCCTTAAAATTATTCCCCACTTATGCTAGTTCATGTTCTTTTTAAAATTTCTATATGAATCAATGTTTGTCTCTTTTCACTGCTTTTTTCATATTAATTTTAATGGGTTTTATTCAGTGTGTGTTTCTTGTAGTCCACTACTGGTTTGTTTTAATGTCATTCTCATGCTTACAATCTTCTGTTTCTAGCTGTTTCTTTGCTATGTACAAGTATGACAGCTAAGTGAAGCAATTTTGCTTTCACAACATAGATACTGGCCAATGAGATCAGTATATTGCAATAAGGCTGATTGGAAGCTTTCTACAAAGAGGACAAAATTCATTCATCAGTAGTAATAGTAATTGTGAATTAGTTTTATATGTCACTCTTCCTCTTTATCATATATCTATACACCCATGTAAACTTGCTCCTCCAAGTATAGCTCCAAATTAAACTGAATTCCAGGATATGACATGAGAATAGGTGGGAAAAACCTATCCTTATTACTTACTTATCAAGAAACAGTGAAGAAATACAAAGAAAACGTTGATATACTAATGGTCCATCAAAGAATTGTTTCATATTCCCTGGTTTTTTTGAAATGGATGGAAGTTTTTCTTTTTCCCCTTACCCACACTTGACTCTTATACTCTCACTTAATGCTTGGCTATCTGAGTTCCTAACAGACTTGAAAAAATTTATATTCATTTATAAACCCCTATGATATAGGGAAAGTGCCACTATTCACATCTCACCCAAATCAGTTTTCTTTATGCTGGAGTTGCCTAAATGCAGTCTAGTTACTGAGGTACTGACTTGCTGTTGGGAAATACAGAAAACATAACTAGAGAGATTTAGTTGTTGGTGGGTTAGGATGTTGCCTGGATATTTGCTCTGCCAAGGTAGAAAAACTGTGTTGCTGACTGAGCTATCTCAACTAGATGAAATTAGGAAGGACAAATTCAAATCTGCTTTACCTCCTGCTACCAGAGAAAGTATGCGTCTGAGATATCACACAGGCACCTGCTCAATCCAGGTGCAGGACTATTCTCAGTCTCCTTGTGCATCTTTTCCCCTCTATTTTTTTCTCTAGAAATTTCCTTGCTAACCAGCACTATTAGAATAGTATACCAATGTGATTCTGAAATAATGCTACTTGTAAATTCAAGTAAGTGAGTCCAGGTAAATGTTGTTACCTCTCAAAATATTTTCTTTAATGAGAACAGCTTTTGGTAAGAATGTTTTTATGGTAAACCTATTTCATTACATGTAAGGAGACAGAGACACAGAGAATATCCCATGACGAATACTTTATAGTGAGCCTGTGGTTCATGATACGTCAATTACACCTGAACAGTGGGTAATTGGGCACTTGGAGCTGGAGATCATCAACCAAAAATTCTGGGACTGGTAGACAGGTATACACATTTGATCTCTTGTATTCTGTATCACTTTTAATCTTTCTTGAATTATCTCTTAAAAAGGCACAGTCATGGTTCATATTGCCATTGCACAGGGATATGATGATTTGTCTTCAGTAAAATACACTGACATGAATGTAAAAAGTAAACATTCTCTGCTAGAATTATTCTCTAACTCATATGCACATTATTTGACTGTTTGGATGCTCTATAAGGCTGAGAAAGGCTCATCTAAATAGCAAAGAGGAAGACTAAAGGCAGAGTAAATTCCATTACTTACCCCTATTGTTCCAAAACTTTCAGGCTTTCTTCTAATTTTTTTCTTGCAAAGGTGTCTCCATAACCATTTGATTAGATACCACAGAGACTTTGGGCTTGGTATGACATTAAAAGGAGTGGGCAGAGTTCCTCCTTCTTCAAAGTAACTCATCCAGAGCTTTGTTCGAGCAAACTTCCACTCAATGTCTGCATGATCCTGCACACCAGAAACACAACATCAACATAGATATTGCTGTAATTAAAGAGGTAAAACAAACCTCTACAAAAATCTGAAAAACTAAAACTAGAATAACCCTGAAATACTAATGAATTGTCTTGATAAAATACTGCCATCTTCTTTGACATAAGGTCTTTAATGCAAAGCAAAGCTAAGCTGCTTTACAACGAGATGCTTGGTATGTAAAGTATATATCCACTTACAAGCATTTCTTTCCCTGTTACGAGCATTTAAATTATTAAAAGTCTCTCAGAAAAACTGAAAGGGTAATTACGAGCAGAAAAATACTACATTTCTGGAACAAATGTTTTATTATAAAAGCAACACATCATTATTCCACATAGATCAGTCTAATTACACTGCTCTGCAGCAGCTTCAACAAGTCAGTAAGTTTCATGTATTTTCTTAGTAATTGTCAGCACCCGAAATTCACAAATAAGTTATCCAACAAATCATAAGGCTACTAAAACTGCTAAGGTAACTATTTTTTTTTCCTTCTACTTCAGAATTCTATATTGGGAATAGGTTGTGGGAGGTTTCTTTAACTTTTATTTGAAATTTTATTTCCTTTGGATTCTATATAGTATTATATAATTCTGAAAAGTTTGGAAAAATCAAAACTAAAGTCCATGGAAATATTTCTGAATCCTAGCAGCTGAATAAAAGTTTAAATCACTAATACTGGATTTGGGTAACAAACACAGTAGCCAGGTCTAGCCCTAGCCATACAGTAATCAACACAGAAATTTAGAAGTTGTAGTAGCAAAAGTATACTACCTGCAGCCCAAGTTCTGGTAAATGGTACTGTGTTGTGATATTGCACACAAGACATTGCCAACAAGTGTTATAAAAATACAGGTAGTCAGTATTTCTTTTTGAAAAACTTGTAATTTCCAAATTAGAAAAAAAAGGCACATTTTAAAATCTTAAGACTGAAGCTTTCTTTTATTTGTTTGCTTTTGGCATGATTATATTTGAATTATCATATGATGAATCAGTGTTTATTTCCCATAGTCTCCTTAGTAGACAGTTGAGAAATAAAAATGAGCAAATAGCTCTGACAAGGATAAAGATAGTTTTCATTAAAGGAGAAAACAGGACATGGCTGAACGAGAAGACATGACATTTTGATGAATTGCTAATGGGTCCAAAATTGTCCATGGCACATGGGCATCCAATTTCTTTTAACTGTATATTCATGTATATTCATGCCAGATACAAATAAAAAATAACAGTCTTTCAAATGCTAACAAATATAAAGTAGAGACAGAACAATCTTGGGCAGTCTCTTTTTCAGAAGAGGTCTTGTACAGTGCAGCTTTTGCAGGGCTGAAGTCCATCATTTGCCAGAAGCATCAGCACACCCTTCCCAACCCACAAGCTGGTTTCTTCATAAGGGTCACCTCTTTCCTATTCAGTGTTGTGAGGAAATTCCTCTCTACCCAGTCCAGCTTGGGCCTGGTTTCTGCATCCTTCCAAAAAAGTCCAAAAGAACTAGAACAAATCAGAAAATTTGTCCCAATGTCCTGTCTGTAAAATGTTTTACTGCCAGAAAAACAGGATCTAGGAACAGAGAGAAGGCATATATTGTAAATGATCTAATAAGGAACAACTTACAGCAATAAGTTGGTAAGAATTATTCATCATGGCTATTAGCATGTTGAGTAGAACAACCAGAGATATTACATTATAGGTACCAAACATGGTGGCCCCAACAAATTCAGTAAATTCATGCCTTGCTTTCACATTGGTCACATAGAGATTGATGAGTCCAAATATAGACCAGAATAATGACTGTAGCGTTTCAAATAATCTGAAAAACAAAACCCAAAAGGAATAGCTGTATAATAAAACACATTTAGTTTTCAGATTGTTCAGTTTTTTGCAAAACACACAGAAGTCCTTGACTTGACTGAGGTGAATGATGCTTACCACACAGTATAGCCAACATAGATGGAATACCTTTCTAGCAAAACAACAGCTTAATGTTTCATATCTGAACCTCTAGATAAATAATACAGAATCTAGAAATTAGCCTGTCGTCAAAACACTGATTTTGTCCATACTTCAGAGGGACAAATATAGTTTTAGAGATCTTATGATGGACATCTTCCTTTAAAGCATTTTGACCCTTTGCCTTGGCTGAAGGGGGTAAAATAAGGATCCAAGTTACTCAATGTTTGTGTTTCACCATGTTGTTGAAGAAGTCTGGTATCCTCATACCTAGTCAGTTTATGCAATATTGGTTTGTGTTGAGAGTCAGTAAGATAAAAGGAGAAAGGATAATTAGAAAGACATTAGTATCATTAGCATATGTTTTGTTTTGCAAAGAAGAGAGACAGAAAAAAGACAAGCATGCTGTTCTCAAAAGAAACGTTCTTTTATAATTAAAGTATATGATATTCCCTTAGGGAAGTTTAGGACAATGGCTAGGAAGCTAGTAACAATGATGAACTTTTGAAAATAATCCTCTTTGGAAAATAATCCTAGATAGGTTGAAAAATTTTCACTTTTGTGCAATATTCAGCTACACTATAGTGTTATAAGCATGGCCCTAGCGATGCTCTTTGCTTCTCAAAAGTTTGGAGCAAAATTTTCTGCATATCTAGGCCCGTATCTTGAGATTAACTGGAGTGAATCTTCCTTGTGGTCTCTCTCCTGCTCCTTTACCAGAAGCAGGTTACCCACAGTGGACCACCAGTGCTAACCCTACTGCACTTAGAGCAGGGAGGCTGCTGAACTGCAGGGACTCAAGGGACTCATATCACCCTGCATCCCACACTCTGGGATGTACTGTCCAGAGATGGACAAAATGTAACCCTTTGGTCTCCTTCCCACCATATGGTATCATCTGTGAAATGTTTCCATGCAAACCAGTACAGCTCTATCCTAGAGAGAGAACCTGAGAGGGCAGGTCCTGAATCTCTGCTCCTGTAACATGGTGTATCTGAGTGGTAAAGTACAGCTCTGGAGCCTCTTGTATGGTTTACACTTGTCTGAGCACAAATTGAACAACCACTATTCTACCCTCCCCACAATTGCTGAAAAAGCTCGTCACAGTTTGCCTTGGCACGATCTTCTGACACTACTACTAATAGGCCCTGCTATTTCCCAAATTAATAATATTGCTTCCCTCAAAGTTGAGCTCTGAAAAATTTCCCTGTGCTTTTCTGTTCAGATCACATAAAATTTAGACCTGCATAGATGTTATTAATATGCAAGATAAATATGCTGTGCCTGAGAAAACATAGTTGATTAATACGACATAAAGCCTGCTATTTTTATAAAATTATCTACCTTGAGAAGCAAGCTATTGGTAATAATTTTATTTTAAAAACAGCCTAGATACACAGAAGTAAGTAGGGAACAGACATTTATAGCAGGAGTTTGATTCAGGCTGGAACCTGAAAGACAGGATAGAGAATAAGTGTTAATTTGGTAGTATTTTGGTACTATAGATGAACTAAAAACCAGAATGAAGTAAAATTGATTTAAAGTGAAAGAAAAATAAATTATTTATAACAAAAATTAGAATAGAAATTTGATTGTGTGTAGGGTCAGTAGAAGGTTGGACTGCATGTTCCTTTCCTGCCTCAGTTTATCACATTTACAAGAAATCTTCATGTTAGACAGCAGACTTATTTAATGCTCACGTGTAGACACAGAAGAAATGCAGAGTTACAGCTGCCTGGATAAGTAACCTCTGATCTGGTGACTTTAATTCTAAATATGTACCTTCTACTCTCATATATCTTCCTCTTACCTTTATTTTACCTTTTATCTTTTGAGATATCTTGAATTGTATGGACTTTACTGTGGTATGGGATGAAGTTATTACAGAGTGATGTAGTGTTAAATTTTTTATTTTTTTTTTTAATTAGGGTAATATTAAATGTGGTTGTCAGGACACCAGTGTAATACCAATAGAAAAAGGGAGCCTCTTTCCTGTAAACCACATCAAAGTGATTAAAATATTTGAGGCAGAAGGGGAGGATAGAAATAGATCAGACACTTACGTTGAAAATGCATTATTCTGCTTTTCACATCGTATTCCTTTGCAGTTGCCAGGTTCATTTGTCTCATAGTAAAAGTACAGCTGGTTCAATCCATTTGCAAAAGCTAGCAGCACAAGGCAGTATATGAAGAGAAACTTCAAAATGTCCAGCAACATTCTTCCTAGAGATATCTGCAGAGGTCCCAGGTGAGAATTTGCAGTGAATAACGAGATCAAGCGCAGGGAGCTAAAGATGTTTGCGATTGCAAACAGGGCCTCAGCCACCAGGGTTGGATGCCACATGTCCCAGCTCTCCCGTGGAACTAACCCACTATACTGAAAACAAGCAGAAGGGAAGAAATCACTCCTCTATTTTTATGCATAAACAAATATGCCAGTTTCTTTATAAGCTGTTCAGTTAATTTGCAGATATCACAATAAATTTTTACAGTAACAAAACCAAGTCTAAAAATTCTGACAGAACAAAAGGAACAGTTTTGAACACCTGCATTTTTAGAATTATAGAAACTTCCAGTTGTAATATCAGGTAAATGATTTCTTTGAAGAACAGTGCAGAGCTGACAATTATGGATAGAAACTCACAAAAAATTTGGCAAGTAGGAAGAAAGCATTCAATCAAGGAATAAGTATATCACTTAATCACTAATACTAGACCAGTGATGAAAAAGCTGCTTATTAATGAACCATGGCAAACTGCTTGTGTGCCTCATTATCAAAGAGTCTGATCCCTGGAACTGTGACTCTTTCCTGTTCCAGCTCTACCAAAAATTTCTTGAACATGAAAGATATTACTTTGAACTGAGGCTTAACTACTATTGCAGACTCGTTATTATTTATTTCATCTCAATAATCTGTTTTATGGAACATATCAGAGGACAGAATTTATGCTATGAAGCACTCTAAAAAGAAGGGATAATATAATATAAAGCCCCTTTCAAAGAGGGACTATGGTGTAGTCTGTATTTACCTACTCTCGGCCACACAGTTGCATCCTTCAAAGCTGCTGTGCATGCTCGCAGCAGTAAGGAAAGGGACTCTGTGTCACTGGGGCAAGATGAGACAACACAGGCACCACAGCATTTCAACACCACACTCATCCTCCAAAGAAGGTGACCACTCTCAGAGTGGTTCAAGACCACCTGAGGAACTTGAACATACATAAGTCTATGGGACCTGATGAGATGCATCCCAGAGTCCTAAAGAACCTGGCTGATATAGTTTCCAAGTCACTCTCCATGATATTTTAAAAGTAATGGCAGTCAGGTGAAGTCCCTGGTGACTGGAAAGAGGGAAATATTGCACCCATTTTTAAAAAGGGGAGAAAGGAAGACCCTGGGAACAACAAACCTGTCAGCCTCATCTCTGTACCAAGGAAGGTCATGGAACAGATCCTCCTAGAAGCTCTGCTAAAGTACCTGTAGGACAGGAAGGTGATTCAAGACAACCATCACAGTTTCACCAAGGGCAAGTCCTGATTAACTAATCTAGTGGCCTTCTACAATGGAGTGCCTAGATCAGTGGAGAAAGGAAGGGCTACAGATGTCATCTTTTGTCCTTTGACGCTGTCCCCTGCAACATCCTTCTTTCTAAACTGAAGAGAGATGGATTTGGTGAGTGAACTTTTTGGTGGATAAAGAATTGGCTGAATGGTTGCATCTGCAGAGAACTGGACAGCAGCTCCATGTCCAATTGGAGATCAGTGACAAGTAGCATCCCTCAGGGATTTGTGTTGGGACCAGTACTGTTTAATATCTTTATCAATGACATAGACAAAGGGATTGAGGGCACCCTCAGTAAATCTGAAGATGATACTAAGCTGAGTGGTGCAGTTGATGTGCCAAAAGGAGACAGCATGCCATTCAGAGGGATGTGAACAAGCTCAAGAAGTGGGCCAAGGAAATCACATGAGGTTTAACAAGACTAAGTGCAAAGTCCTGTACCAGGATTGGGGAAGTCCAGTACCAATACAGGCTGGGGAATGAAGGGACTGTGAGGAGATGGAGTACTGGTGGATGAAAAGCTGGACGTGAACCAGCATCATGTGCTCACAGCTCAGAAAGCCAACTGTGTTCTGGGCTACCAGAAGTGCTGTCAACAGGTCCAGGGAGGTGGTCTGGTACTCTGGTGAGAGTAGAGGGACATCCTCTACTACACACCTGCATCCAGCTTTGGCATCCTCAGTAAAGGAAAGACATGGGCCTGTTGGAGCAGGTCCAGATGAAAATGATCAGAAAGTTGAAGCAACTCTCTTCTGAGGAAATGCTGAGAGAGTGGGGGTTGTTCAGCCTGAGAAAAGGCATCTTTGGGGAGACCTTATTGCAGCCTTCCAGTACTTCAAGAGAGCTTACAGGAAAGATGGACACAGACTTTTTAATTGGGCCTGTAGCAATAGGACATGGGCTTATGGTTTTATACGGAAAAAGGGTAGATTCAGACCAGATGTAAGAAAGAAATTTTTTATGATGAGGGTGATGAAACACACAGGTTGCCCAGCAAGGTGATAGATGCCCTGACACATTCAAGGTCAGGTTGGATGGGGCTCTGAGCAAACTGATCTCATTGAAGATGTCCCTGCTTATTACAGAGGCACTGGACCACATGACCTTTAAAGGTCCCTTCCAACCCATCCTATTCTATGCATCTGTGATTCTATGATTCAAATTGTAATGGGAACTGGACATTGTTGTGGACACTGATAGTTTGCACAGTACTCCACCACACCAGGGTTTCTCTAAGTGACAGGTAGTGCCTGTGCAACTGTCCCAGTGCCCAACAGCAATCCTCGGCACAATTTCCTTTACTCATATACAAGCAGCCATAGCAGCTGATAGGTCTGTGGATTTGTAGATGGGAACTGCAAAATAGGAGAACAGTCGATTAAAGAGTTAAGAATTATTCAGCCTCACATTTCATTCACCAGTAATATTTGTTCTCTACAGAGCAAAGAGTTAAATCTAGACCTGCTGGAGTCATAGATTGGTACTCTCTTTATTAGACTATCCTCTCCCTAATGATCATGCTGTAAAATCAAGTCTTACTGCATTTGGAATTAGAGCTTCAAGAGACATGCTCTTTTGCCTCATCCACTATTGCCCTTCAGTTCAGTTCTGATTGATTCAAGATCAGTGATGAAAAACAGGCAGAAGAAAACAGAATTTAGTTAACAGAGACAACAGCTAAGAGATAAAACACAAAGAAAAAGCAGAAGAAAATTTTTTCCATGTTTATTGAGAAGAGAGAGCTGAAAATTTCTCAGCATGATTCCTATAATGTTTTTCTTTGAATAATGTTATACAGCACAGTACCGCAGATTCTCATGGCACTTTATAACCGTCATATCTGCAAACCTGCACCTATTAAATAACTAGGAACAACTGTTGGTACAAACAAAGATTAGGTGCTGAACCTAAACCTGAGCATCTGAGTAGATGCTCAGATTAGGGAAAAGAACACTGGGTGTGCTGGGGGAATAAAGTAAAATAAAGAACATATTTGGAACTCAGAAGAAATGGGGGTTTTGGTAGACAATCAAAAGCATCAAACTGCAGACATTTTAGGTGAGAGTAAGTAGTGGTAGATTCCAAGGAAGTTACAGAAGAGGGGGAGATAGGAGAAAACTAAGGAACCCTACTGAGAAAAACATGGAAGTACAGGAAACTGAATAAGTATAGCATAAGACACAGCAAGAGAGCAAGGATGAAGTTTAACAAATCAGATGTGGATAGCCATGTCTGTGCTCTCTGTCACCTAGTTTTACAGTCAGCAAAGAAAAATGAGAATTTCTAGAGTAGTAGGAAAGCAGATATCCCAAACAGGTCAGATGAGTTGCTCTTTTAAGTTTCTCATTTTCTCCTCATTGATGGTTGGGGAAGGGGAGAGGCTGTCTTACAGCTGTAGTCTGGCTAGATGTATCTAATGTCACATTTTCTAAAAGAAATGATGCTGAGGAGAAAGGAGAGAATAAAGGACTTTGTCTGTGATGTCCTGGATCAAGACACAAAACTTGTTTGTTAAAACATTCATAAAAGATCAAAAAACCTCCTATTTGTAAAAATGGAAATCAAAGGCACAACTATGTTATTTCAGTTTAATTGACTCTGCCTTTTTTGGGCCCAACTGCTTCCTGCATGTGTGGATACAATTCAAAAGGTGTCATGGTTGTAAGCAGAGAGTGATGGTTGTTATTTTAGTTTTGACAAAACATTATGTAAGAGACTAGAAATACTTGGTGGAAAAAAAGTGAGAAAGATGAAGGCCTGAGAAATAAATTTGGAAATTATCTGTGAAATATATTAACTGTAAGAAGCCAGAAAGAAAATAATGAGGATAAGAGGGCTCTAGCAACAAAACCCTACTGATTTCACTAACTACAGTAGAGGATGCTGAAAAGAAATCTAGAAATATCAATAAAAAATCTAGAGAGCAAAGAAACTTCCATGTGAAAAGGAAAATAAAAAAGAGAAGCAAAAAGACAAGGTATACTAAAACCAGGAACAGTGATAATATGAAAAAAAAAAAGGAAAAAGAAGAAGAAAAACTGTATCTTAAGGTCAAACAAGCCAAAACATGCAAAATTGAAGTATTTGTTCTTCTGTTCTATGTAGAATAAATAAATGGTTATTGTTCTAAGGAATGGAAAATGGTAAGAGCAAATATAGCAACACTGAGCTTGCTGTAAATCATGACGTTGATACTCTGCAGTCCTCTATTATTTTGTGACCCTGATGAATTTCTGTCCCCAGTTGAAATGCAAACACAACCTTTTGACATGTAACAAAGCCAACCATCACTTAATGTGATTAAATAATACCTATTATTGGCTCATTGGTGGAAAGAAATTTACATGGCACATCAGTGGAAAATTAAGAAGAGAAAAAAACAAATGGAGCAGCATATAAACTAGAGTATCAAGGCAAATATATGATGCTTTTGCGATGTCACCCAGGGCATACAAGATAACAATTGATCCTTACCCAAAGGAATTCTAATGCAAATCTAATATCAGAACCAAATAATCAGAATCTAAATCAGAAAAAAGCTGACTGATCACTGTTTTCACATTAAAACAAAAGACATGATCTGTAGATCTTACAAAAGCACCAAGAGAGAGCAAATAGACATATACATCAGGCTACTTGAATGTTTAATGAGCTGTTGGACCTTGGTCAAAGGTGAATGCCTTGTTTCTGACCACAAAAAGAAAAGTTACATATTATTAATTTCAGGAAAAGTATTTTAAATCCTTCCCTGAAAGGTCATATGTAAATGTGAACTCTTCCTATTTTAAAATGTACGACCCAATCTTTGCAGTCATTATGCTGAATTTCAGAGCAGCAGTAGGAAGGGGGTAGGAGGCCTTGCAGAGAGTTTTTAAATTGTAACTACAGTGAAGAATTGAGTCCATTTCTCAGGGACAGAGGGGTGTTAATCCTCCTATATAAATGGACATTTGGTCTGTGAATCTGGTAAAATATCAATCAAAACCATTTTATAATGCAAATATGTAAGAAGATGTTAGCTTTTGCAGAACTGGAGGCAGAGGAGATATATAATCTTATTTACTACTGAACAAAGTAGACCTGACACAGTGATCGTTACACCAGTAAATATTGAGACAAATAATGTACCTTTAATTATTTTTCAGACTTCATAGCAACATGTTTCTCTACTTGTTCTTCATGTCAAAGCTGAGACACATTATCAGTAATATGAACTTGCATGTAATTTCTAGCAGAATTGGAAAGAAACAGCACTAGGTCCAATGCTCAGGTTTAACAAATATTTAAGATAAAGCAAGCAGGTTCTGCATAGAAGTTGGCACTGCACCTAACTTTACACATCAGTACATAATAAATTATCTTCCAAAACCATAAAAAGAACCATTTTTTCCTAAAGCACCATGATTTCTATCCATAACCCTCCATCAAAACAAATGTGTTGCTTAAAATTTGTTATCTTGTACTTTCAAAAACTGTCGGACAATGCATTATTTATTATGACATTTTTATGGAGAATAAAGCATTTTCAGTGGATGTACTGGATAATTTAGTAAGACCTCACATGTTGATACACAGAGACAAAAAGCATAGCCCTTTACAAATTATATGATGTACTCATTTTTTTGAATACTGGCAATGAAACTGATAACTTTATCTTAGCAGTCCTCTTATCCTGAAATTAAATGCTTTGGTGTAATTTACACTATCCCATCAGTTGCTGTAAATATCCATCTACCCAACTACAGCATCAGTCAGAGAGACTTAAATAGGCAATAAACACTATGTTTTACTCTGGGAATACTTATCACAGAGGAGAGTAGCATGAGGGCACTCATAATTTTATTCAAGGGAGCTAGTCAAAATGTTTTCTTAGGTGGCTTGAGCTGATTCATCTGAGTTTATATATTTGAATCAATAAATACAGAAAAACTGTAACTTAGGAAAACCTATCTTGCAAGGCTTAAGAAAAGAAAATTAAAGCTTTACATCAAAACATACTGGTTACATTTGGCATCCTCTCAATCTCATCTAGCATAGCGGTAATGAATTCTGTTGTAGGTATGTGAAGGAAATGTGGCTGGGTATTAAATCACACTTGTATTACTCCGTTCATTATATCATCATATGTTACAGTTGACTACCAAAACTGAGGCTTTTCAAAGGAACAAAAAGGTTTTTAGATACAACACTGAACATGCAGTAAAAAAATAATAGCTGCCAGCACCAAAGAGTGCTTTATGCACTGTGTTGATTATCCTAGACATGTAAGCACCAATTTGGAGAGTAATGGATGCATAGATACTGTCACCTTGGAATGTGATTACCATAAGCAGAAGCTGTCTAGGAGATGAAAGGATTATAATGTCTTCTAATTAATATTATTCTAAAGTAAATAACTGGTCAACTCCAATACTTTGGAAGCATCTGTTTTCAATGAACTGTTCACTTTGTTACATGGGAAAGTGAAATGACTATTTACTTCCAGTCACTTTATAAGGCATCCTTGTGTATAAAAAGGCATTTCAATAGCTTTAAATGACAGCTTTCCACATTTTGGAACACCTTCCTCTTTCAGGCAACAGCTCCAGATTTCTTTGAGTGAGACTTCCAGAAGTTTGCAGTCAGAGACCCAGCATGCCAGAAACCTTTTGTCAAAGGAGAAGTCTGGTGTGTCAAGATATCCCAGGTATTTGCTCCTGACTAGCTGACATATGGACCTTTGTGAACAGACACAAGAGGATAGAAATTAGAGGCTCCTAAGTTCCTCTACGCTTATGGCAGGGCTGCAGCAAGAACAGCTACTGCTTGAGGAGAGGAAGCTGTAACTAGCTACTTGATGGCTCTCTCCTTGACCCAATCAAAAGTGTCTTGGCAGAGGTGAGACTCTCCTTCCATGCATACAGGGTAGTTGGTGGTAGGGTTCTTGAAAAAGCTGAAATATAATGCTGATACAGTGGCCAGCAAAAATGGGCTTATCTTTACTTGGATGTGATAAAAACTCTGTGACAGATGCTAAGAAATGCTTTAATTTCCTTTCAGATGTGGTTTCCTTGTGCTCAAGACCATTTTTTGATTAAAAGAGTTCATTTTATGAGGAATTTCTATCATATTATGGATTCACGTTGAATGCAATACAAAATGTTCATACAACATGTTCTGTGGCTTTGGAAAGAAAGGCTGTTCTGCTGGAAGATACTTCAAACAATGAAATATAAAACTATTCAGAACAAGTCCAAGAAAAGGATGAAAAAAATGAACATACCCAGCCTCAAGTGACCATTGTATCTATTTCAGTTTTACTTTTTCATGTTGCATTTATGATAAATTTTCAAAACAAATTAAAGTCTTACACTTTAGTTCCCCCCCAATTTTGAGTAAATATGTTGCTAGTAGTCCTGATTGAAAGTTTTGCATGGTGTGTAAATGTGTCTTAGGGGCAATAATTTCTTACTGAAAAATAATGAAATATTAACACAAAACATAATTGTATGCAAACATTATAAAACATTATTAGTAATTTTCCTTTTACAAGAAAATAACAGTATGACAGTTCATGACAAAATAACAAAAGATTGCATGAGCCAAGAAGAAAAAAGCATAAAACCCAATGTTTTCTTTGCTTTTATACTCTTTTAGTTTCTTGTCATTGCTGCAGAGGATTCAATGAGCATCTCTTGCATTGCTAAACCTGGGCAACTCCAAATACAGAGAAAAGACTGAAGAAGCCTCATTTCATTTATTTTAAAAATTTTGCTTATTTAAAAAAAAAAAAAAAGTTTACCTTTGAAAATGCAACAATTTTCAAAGAGATTGTTGCTAAGTACAAGGAGTTCATTACAAAATCCATGAGGTTCCACCAGTCATGAATGTAGTCCTGTAGTCCACCATCCCACATCTGTTTAATTTCACCCCAGATAAAACCTGTAAATAGAACACAATTCATTAAGCATGAATATTAAATAAAAAGGGCTGTGACTATTCTAGACACTTATTTATAGATCTAGACACTACAGATTGATTCTCCTTACATCAAGTATAAAGGGTAGGTAGATAAGTGCTCTAAAAACCAAACAAATAACCCTCCCCCCCAAAAAACCCCAAAAATAAACAACACACCAAAAAACTCTAAGCAACCAACCAACCAAAAAAAAACCCCAAAACCAAACAAAACCAAAAACTTCTGCTTGTACAAGGGCAATTTCTTTGGTTTTCTTCACTCTTTTTTCTCACGGTATCTTAGAAAGTAAAAAAAGGGTCTTAAAACCTGTCACCAGTGCCAACTCAGTTCTTGGCAACCAATGTAAAATAATTCAAATTAGAAAATTTATTACTGCAGGAGTCAATCCAACACATTAATTTATTTTGATTGAAATCCATACAATAAGGAAGAGAATTTCTATTGTTATTCTTAATCCTGAACTAAAGTCTTGCTTTTCCATATGAAAGAGTAGTGTCTTCAGCAGGATGTTTTTTATTGATACCTTCCTTTGGGACATGAAGGAATGGAAACTGCTTTCCAGGTGAGCAGAGCATACATTGTGCTAGACACAGTGAAACAGAAATATTCAATCCCAATGGGAAATCTTGCAAGTTGTTTGACATGAATTTGGTTTAACAGCTTCAGAGACAACTGTGTGCAGACTCTTTAATGCTATAAACATTAAAACCTCTCTGAAGAAGATACTCCACATTATTGTATAATATGGTGCTGTGGTTTAAGCCCAGCCAGCAACCAAGGCCCATACAGCCGCTCGCTCACTCCCCACCAGTCAGGTCAGGGAGAGAAACAGGAGGGTAAAAGCTAGGTAACTCATGGGTTGAGAGGAAGACAGTTTAATAGGGAAAGCAAAAGCCACACACACAAGAAAAGCAACACAGGGAATTAATTCACTGCTTTCCATGGGCAGGCAGGTGTTCAGCCATTACCAGGAAAGCAGGGACCCATTACACATAACAGTTACTTTGGAAGACAAACACCACCACTCCAAACCTTCTGTTCCTTTCTCTTCCCCGCAGCTCATCATACTGAGCATGATGTCATATGTCCATTGGTTAGTTTGGGTAACGTGTCGTGGCTGTGTCTCCTCCCAACCTCCCATGCATCCCCAGTCTCCTTGTCAGCGTGGCAGTACGAAAAGCAGAAAAGGCCTTGGCTCTGTGTAAGCACTGCTCAGTAGTAACAAAAGCATCTCCGCATTATCAACCCTGCACTCAATACAAATCCAAAACACAGATCCATACTAGCCACTGTGAAGGAAATTAACTCTACCCCGGCTGAAATCAGTACATATGGTAATAAAACAACATGGAACATTTAGATGCATTTTTCATATTATTATCTACAGAGATTTTTTTAAGAACAATACCATTACAGCTTTTAATTTTTCACAGTTAATTATTTTCTTATAGGAATTTCTTACTTTCATGTTTATTAAAGGGACAAATAAGGCCAGTCTCTCACATTGATGTTGAGATACAGTTAATTCAACATGGTTTTTCTACACTTGCTTATCATATGTTTTTTTTAGATAATTTTGAGCAGATTTTGTGCAGGAGTCTATAGAGTTCTATATCTCCTTAGTCTGAGCTTAATTGTCCTTGGACCTTAACGTTCTGTCTTAATGGTGTTCTAGCTGACGGGATGGAAAACTTCGGATTTTTTCGCAAACATGATTCCTAAGAAGTGATACCTGATCTATTCTTGTTTGTGCCAAGTAGGTTTTTGAGTTATTATAATTTAATTTGGTAGTGGTTTGGCTTGACCTTTCTGTCTCCTGATTGCTTTCAAAAAGAAAAGTTCCCTTCCTCACCAACTTCTGCCCTCAAACCTCTGACACATGATCCCTTCTTGTTTCTGTTCATCATCACAGTAACCACAAAGCCTCAGGAGTATCTCAATCATCTGACTGATCAGTAACTTTTATCTTCATAGGATTCATTTTCAGCCATGCCACATCACCATTTCAGCATTCTGCAGATCTGGGGCAACACATTCTGCGAAAGGACCATGCTGGGAACACGTGGACAGAAATATGGGATATACTAATTTTACTGTCTACAACAGCCTAGACAGGTTGATTGCAACTCTAGCTATAGTTTAGTAGATAAAACTAATACACAAAATATAGCACTGTTATTTTAGTGCTATAAGTAACACTTATTTTCAAGCTGCAATCATGATGCATCACAGTGAGAAAACAGATGAATATGATTGCATGGCAGGAGTCAATATCCACTGTATAATGCTACACTGTATAATGCTGCTGTTAACTGCCCAAGTGCCATCACAAAGGGAACACAACTTCACAGGGCTACTAGGCAGGCTCCTATATGCCTGCCTGTTTCAGCCTGTGAAATGACTTAACCACTTACTCTTCAAAGACCTGGTCACTCATGACCCATGTATGTAAGTATGAACATGGTGACAGCAGCTCTAGCTCCTCCTTCTCTACACAGTCCCCTCCGACCTTCACCAGGCAGGCCATGAACTTACAAATGTCCCTGCTTGCGCTTCTACTACCTTTCACGTATAACATGTTAAGCATTGTTAGGTCATAAAAGCAGCTGGTTTGTGGGCTGCAATATATCCTTCACATTTCAGACACTGCTCTAAATCAGCCCTGCCTCACCTGCAGAATAGCACACACAAATCACTGCTCTGCTCAGGAGGCGACCTGGCTCAAGGCTCAGAGAAGATCTGGAGCTGAAGGCTGTCTAATATAGATACAGCCCCTAAGTCTCAGTGTTAGAGAACAGTGCCTTGCTCTTTTTCATTTAAGAAATACAGATATAATTGCAGGATCTTGACACTGGGAAGACTGCTATGGCATAGAAAGCAGACAGCTGGATTGATAGAAGATCTCCAAATAAAAAGGTTTTGTAGAAATCAACATACACATAGAATTAAATGGTTTTTTCGTAACTCAATAGAGTTAAGAATTCTCTTTAAAATAGTCTTTAAAAACAGAGCATAAATAGATTGGGATGAATAATAGGATGAATGCTTAAACAAGAGGCTCTAGGTTCATTAAAGTCTTTTGCCAAGATATTCCATGGTTCACAACCAAAGACATGAACTTACACAGACTGCAACAGGGCTGTTCTGTGTAAGATTGTTGCTCAGCATCATATGCTTTGACAGCACTGCCTGAAATATAATAGGATTATGTAGAGATTGAAAAAGAAATGCTGACTAACACTGCTGCATTTGATCTGTTTTGTGAGTGAAAACTGTTTTCCCAAGCACTTCCTGGGCCTCAGAAAATGAAATGTAATTGTAAAGCCATATTAACAGAGAAATACAGACCTATTATAGAATAATGGAAGAAAGTACATGGCTGTTTTAAATTTGATAATTTTGAATTAGAAACACAACTAATCCAAGCTATCAGCAATTTTGAAGTCATTTGTCAGCTGAAAATTCTGAGTATACTTTGACATCATAAAGGTGGTGGTTCTAATTTTTTCTTAGTTCAAGACAACTTTTATGTTCATCCTGACGCAGGGCTTGTTCTTTCCAAACAAACATCAATGGAAAACCAAAAATCCCACATTTTTGGCTGTAATGGAGATAGCTTAATGGTGATAGCTTAATGGTGATAGCTTAATCTTCTTGTCAGCCAAAGCATCTAAGTGCACACTCCATATATAAATGCACTTACTGAGATCTTATGTGACCCCAGAGAATTTGAAGCTAGGCTGATGGATGGATGCTATGTTTGTGACAGACACACAGTCCATGTATGCACAGCAGAGCTTCCTAGACATGAATTTTTGAATGAAAATCTTGGTACAAAGTCCTAAGATTGACTGCCCAAATTCACAGCTCCAGGGCAATCTCACCATGAAAGCTGTGATCAGCCTTTGCAGCTATCAGGTCTCTGTGGCTAGGTATCCTTAGGGGTGCTTAACTGGAGAACTGAATGCTGGGAGAACTGGGATCTCTGGAGTTCTGTAAAGCCTCCCACGTGTACCTGAAGGGCTATCCTAGAAAACTATACTCTGAAATCTCAGTGCCTTTATGCAAAGCTGATGACTTCCCTAAGGCCCAGTGAGCTTACATGATGAAGCTATTCTGAGCAACAAACCTCAGGGATTTCCACTTGTGCTGCTTAGGTTTGATTTATGGTCACATAGCCAGAAGTCTTGAAATCTTGTAGATCATAACTGTATCTTTTTGCAAGAAGGAAGGGTCTGGGGGGAAGAAGTCAGTCAACTCTTATCTTCACCCAGTGACACAATACACCAGTTTTGTTCTGTTATATTAATTGGGAAAATCAGGAAAAAACTAGGGAAATCTATGTATTTTAAAAAAAAAAGAAAAATAAATCCAGAGATCAGAGCAGCATTATCTCTGACCTTGCACACTTTCATTTTCTATTTAGAAGATTTATGGATAGCTGGATCGTACCTGACTTTATTCTGCAAGGAGACTTTAGGGCAATTCCAAAACATGACCTGACATAAGAGAAGACATGCAGTGGCAAGACTGTCTAATAGAGGCACTGTTACAGGTAGGAAAGACATCTAGAGTCCAGGCACTGCCTGCTTATTAATGTGTCAAAGCAGCAACGTTATCACATGCTGTTAGAGCTCATGTCAGAGCTATGTATTCAGCAACAAGAAAGGTGATGTCTCAACAAAACAGAGGGGACATAACCAGCTTGCACACAGGTATTGGGGTAAAAGAAGGAGAAACCAGCCAAATACAAGGGATAGATCTAAAAGTAATAGTCTTTTAGGCAGTCAGGCTGGGGACAATTCATTGCCCAAAGCCCCCTTTACCTCTCTGGGAGGAAACAAGCATCTCCAAGGCAAGAATCCTGTCATCTGCAGGTGGGTCAATCTTCCCACTGACTGAAAAGGGAGCTATGAGGATCAGGCTGAATTAAAAGAGATGTCTAACTTCCAGGTGCCTCTAT